CGCTGGCCTGACGGACGGCGCCGCCCGGCGGGGGGGCGTGGCGAGGGGGGTCCCGCGCCCCAGCGGAGAGTGGCCGCTTCCGGGGAAAGTCTCCTCCTCCTCTTCCACCTCCACCTCCGCCTCCGCCGCGGCGGCGGAGGCTCCGCCGCCGCCGCCGCCTCCTCCTCCTCCTCCTCGGCCTCCTCCTCCTCCGCCTCCTCCTTCTACTCCGCCTCCGCCTCCTCCTCCTCCTCCTCCTCCTCCTCCTCCTCCTTTTCCGTCTCCGTCTCCTCCGCCTCCGCCTCCCTCTCCGCCTCCGCCTCCGCCTCCGCCTCCTCCTCCTCCTCCTCCTCCTCCTCCTCCTCCTCCTCCTCCTCCTCCTCCTCCTCCTTCTCTTTCTCCTCTTCAAAGTCGGAGGCTCACAGGGGCAGTGCTGCAGCGTGGCTTCGTGGCTCCCTGCGGTCAGGGGCAACGTTTGGGGGGGGGGTAGGCTCCTGGGGTGGATGGGCTCCACGAGGTGAGGCGTGCACCGGGGATGCATAGGCTCAGGGGAGGTTTTTGATGTCTGAGGTTTTCGGGCGCTTGGGGCGTAGTGCTGCGTTCTGCGGCTCTTCGTGCCTGGTGCGTCAGTGTCTCAGAGAAGGCTCTGATTGATTGCAGCGCTGGCGCTTATCGCCATGTGTTGCTGGATTCTCTGGTTGGTTGTTTGAGTGCAAGACTGCTGTCTCTGGTTCGCTTTTCCGAATACCAGCGACGCGCCGAAAACCCAAAGGGAGGCGTTCTCGTCAGTTCTCGGCGGCTTCTCGGCCTTGGGATGCTCTCCGGCAGCTGCGCCTCCGCCGAGAGCGTTCCCGGCGGGGTGCCCAGAACGTCCCGAACGGCCGCCGGAAAGCAGAGTGACGACCCGAAAGCCAAGGGGCAACTGTAGGGGGGGATAGGCTCAGCGCAGGTAGCTTTCGCCCTCCAGGGGCTCTTCAGCCGAAATGGCACTGCACAGAAGCATCGGATGAAAGGTCGCTCGCATGTACGATTTTCTAAAAAATCCAGGCCCTACCCTCCCTGCCACACAAAACACATCAGCATCCGAGCAGGCTTGATAGTCCTTTCGATCGGGGGAGCGCATCGCTCCCCCCCCAGGGCCCACTCTTCGCCGATGGGGGCCCTGATTGCCCACCACTCCCCGGAGCGTGCGGCACTGCCCTCGGGGGCCCATCGCCGGTCGATGGGCGATGTGTATCGCCGATTCCAGGTCGACGCTCCCCTCCCCCCCCTGAGCCGGCCCCCCCCCTCCCGTCGTAAAACAGGGCTAGGATCGGGATAAATCGCTCCAGAGCGTTCCGGAGCGCTCTCAGAGCGTTCCGGAACGCTCTGGAGCGGCCGCGGCGCCCAATACATCCTCCAAACCCGCCGATTCTCAGAGATTTCGAGTTATCCCGATCCGATTTTGTCCCGATCTTCGCGTCGTTTTACGTCGATCTCCCTCATCTGGCCCCATGGCCTCTCCGCTCCTGCCACCCGGCTGCACCTCGGGGGATGGCGCGCGTGCGGCGAGCGTCTGCCCGATCCCCATCCCCACTGGGCCGTGGCATCTCATCTCGGCCCCGCCGGCTGATCCTCCAGGTGGGGCAGGTCTCGCGAAACCCGAAGGGCACAGCAACGGCATACATCCCTACCTGGGGGGGTACGTCGGCCATTGGGTCCAAGGCTTATGACGTTCCAACTTACTCTAGCCTTGAGCACGAACAAACATTCGAGCACCAAGAAAGTACCGAAGCTCGATGGCTTTCACGTGTCCGGCCCTGGGAGACGCTCGTCCGACACTGTCTCGACGCTGTTTCGACCCTTTTCTGGGAGCTCGAAAATATTTCTGGGATGTGGTCCTCACGTACGACGGGAGCAACATAAGCCAAGGCCAAGGCCATGCCAGTGGGGATGGAGACGGGTTAGTTAAGCGACGCTCAACTGCGGGTGCGCCCGTGCGCCTGCCGTCCGGGGGAGAGGCAGCTGCGGCAACGGCAGCTCTTTCGCGATTTCGCCTGGCCCGAGTCCGCTCAAACTCGGCCCACTAGGGGGCCACATGCGAACCCTACCCCTACCCCTACCCCTCAGATATCGTGGAGGGTAGGGGTAGGGTTCGCATGTGGCCCCCTACCCACGCCCTCTTCGCCTTCTGGTCGAGGCAGGCAACAAAAGCAGCACAGGCATACGCTTTCTCGGAGGCCGATCCGGATCTCTCTTGGGCACCGGGCGCTCCTGGGGCGGCGCCTCGGGCGCCGCCCCCATGGCGCGCTCCGCGCGCCCAGGGGGCCTCTATAGGCCGGTCCAGCGCCGATCCAAGGAGTCCGCGCGGAGCTCGGAACGTTCAGACTTTTGTGGTTTTTTTAGTTCGTCTTCGTCTTCTTAGTCTTCTTCTTCTTCTTCTTCTTACTCTGCTTCTGCTTCTGTTGTTTCCTCTGCTGTTGTTTTTTGTGACTCATGTGCCCCGCACGCGTCTTGGGGGAGTCCCGTGTCATCTCTGTTGCTGATTCTGATTTATCGTTACGAAAAGAGTCAGGAAACGAGTCTGCCTTGTTCCATTTGGTTCCATTTGCTGCACATTAGACAAGTCAGTCTTCGTCCACGATTCTTCTTGCTCTGCTTCTGCTTCTGCTTTTTCCTCTTCTGTTGTTTTTTGTGATCATGTGCCCCGCACGCATCTTGGGGGAGTCCCGCGTCATCCCAACTGTCCCATCGTGTGCGGTCCGACGTGCGGGGGGACGATAGCTGAGGGGGAGCGGATGTCTCGTAGGCCGGGCCGCTCTTTGACGGGCGGACGGCACCCGCTCTCGGCAGAGTGGGTGTTCGCCAGTGTTCTCGTCGTCGTCGTCGTTGTCTTCGCCTGTCCCATTCCCCCCTGTCCCCCTCGTCGTCGTCCGTCTCCGTCTCCTCCTCCCTTTCCAGGCAAGACGTGGCTGATCAACACGCTCTACGGCAAGAACTTACCGTCGGGCAAGTTGCACGAAACATCTGGCCTGAGTATGGCGCGCACCCTCCAAAAGAGAAGTAAGGGGAGGAGGACCAGGAACAGGAGCAGGAGCAAGAGGATTCCGCAAGAGCACGCCAAGACAACACCACGCTGAGCTGCCGCCGTGAAGCTTATGTGCAGCTCGTCACAAGTACAACAACACGGCGACCAAATCCGAAAATGCAAGCTGCAGTCCACCTCGCGGATCGCCACAGGGAGCTTGGCCGACCTGGGTAGCACAGCCAGCCGTCCACGGACTGCTGGACGGCAGGTCGCCGTGGACACCAGGGACCCCACTTCAGCGGACCAGTTCATCGCGACGCTGAAATCTCGGCAGCCTTCTTCGCCTCGTTCGCCGTGTCTCTCGAGCTCAGCACACTGCCGGAGGCTCTGAGTTGACTGGCTGGCCGCAGGCGCCGCAGCGACCCGCTCATGAGGGTGAGGATGTCCAAGACGGTGATGGTGTTGCTGTTGGTGATGGCGATGGTGATGACAATGATGAAGTCTGTGGTGATGGTGGTTGTGGTGGTGATGATTGTGATGCTGATGATGGTGATGATGGTGACGATTGCGATGTGCAGGATGACGGTAATGACGGTGATGACGGTGATGACGATGATGATGATGATGATGATGATGATGATGATGATGATGATGACGGTGATGACGATGGTGATGATGATGATGATGATGATGATGATGATGATGATTATGTTGTTGACGATGATGATGTTGATGATGATGCTGCTGATGATGATGCTCTAATGAGGATTGTGATGACGATGATGACGATGACATGATGATGGTGATGGTGATAGCGATGATGTTGATGATGTTGATGATGGTGCTGCTGATGATGATAGTGATCAGGCTGATGATGACGATGATGAGGATGTTGACGGTGGTAATTGCGTTGATGACGATGATGATGGTGATGTTGATGTTGATGGTGATGGTGATGCTGGTGGTGATGATGATGGCAGTACTGCTGCTGATGATGCTGATGATGAAGATGATTACCATGCAGATGATGAAGGTGAGAATGATGAGGATGAGGATGAGAATGAGGATGAGGATAAGGATGAGGATAATGATGATGCTGCTGATGGCTATGATGATGATGATGATGATGATGATGATGATGATGATGACGCAGATGATGATGATGCTGACGATGATGCTGCTGATGATGATGATGTTGATGGTGATGGTGATGGTGATGGTGGTGATTGTGTTGGTGATGCTGATGCTGATGCTGATGATGATGACGATGATGTTGATGATGCTGATGATCCTGATGATGATGTGGGTGAGGATGTGGATGAGGATCAGGCTGCTGATGATGACGATGACGATGATGCTGATGATGATGCTGATGATGATGAGGAGGAGGAGGAAGTTGAGGATGAGGATGATGATGATAATGATGATGATGCTGATGATGATGACGATGATGATGCTGCTGATGATGATGACGATGATGATGCTGATGATGATGATGATGCTGATGCTGATGCGGATGCTGATGCTGATGATGATGATGATGGTGGTGGTGGTGATGATGATGATGAGGAGGAGGAGGAAGAGGAGGAGGAGGAGGCCGACCAGAACTTCCCGCCGCATCGAACTGCGCGTCTCGTCCGCCCCTTTTTCTTCTCCCCCTCTTCCTTCCTCCTCCTCTTCCTCCCTCCTCCGTCTCCCCCTCCTCTCTTCCTCCCCCGCCGTCTCCTCCTTCTCCCCCTCTCCTTCCTCCTCCTCTTCCTCCTCCTCTTCCTCCTCCTTCCTCCCTCCTCCTTCCTCCCCCTTCTCCTTCCCCCTCTTCCTTCCCTCTCGTCCGCTCCTCTTCTTCTCCCCCTCTTCCTCCCTCCTCCTTAGTGCCCGTGCGCGCCGTGCGGTGGGTCTCGATGCCGCCTCGGCTGGGGGACGTCTTCTTGGAGGCCTGCCGGGCCCGTCCGCCCTCCGCCCCCTCGCGCACACACCCGCCCCGCGCGCCGGCAGCGCGCGCCCGCGCTCGGCCTCACGCCGGGCCTGTTTTGGAGCATTTTTGGAAGATTTTTCCCAAAATCCTACATATTTTGAATTATGTTTGAAGTATTTTGAAATATTTATGGGGTATTTTTCCCGACATCCAAAGTATTTTGAAGTATGTTTGCAGTATTTTGGGCCTATTTGGGAGTATTTTTGGAGTATGCTTCAACTTTCGCCCCAAATCCGCGTGGAGGGGGGCAGGCCCGACCTGAGCTCAGCCTTCGGCGCCCTCGCCGCGCCGCAGCTGCCCTCGCTTCTGCGACTCGCTGGCGCCCTCCTCGGGTATGGCCAGGACCCCAGGTAAGGGGACCCGGTTAGTGGTAGGGGCCCCGGAGCCTTTGAGGTGGCCAGAATCACTAAACCAGGTTTGCCAAAGCTGGTGTTTTTTTCGGATGACGGCAGTTCTGCTTAGTGGAAATGGGACGGGGGGGCGCCCCCGGTACAAATCACTAAACTAGGTTCCACTAAACCCAGTTTTGCCAACGCCCGACCTCCGCCGACCCCGCTGGACGACTGGGCGGCGGAGCCGCCTCGCGTGGCGTGCTCGCGCGTGCGGAGCCGCCTCGTCGCCCGGTCCTGCGCCCCGCCGTGCCTCCCCGTCTCCCCGCCCGGCCCCCGTCCCTGCCAGGGGGGGGGGGGAAGACCTCTGCTGCCGCTGCTTTCCCCGGAGAGCCCTCCGTCTTCAACGACATCTGGACCTGCCACGACGTTCCACACAACCACCACACCTCACTACTATCCGACCTTCGGCAACGAGCAGAACGGGAAGATCCACCAACATCCTGGACCATCGACGACCTAGACCGCTGCCTCCGCGGGGAGCCAGACAAAGGCAAGGGCGTCGACGTCACCAGGTGCAGCGATATCAGACGGCTACCACGAGCTGGGAGGACAAGCCCTAGCCGACCTTTTCAACCTCTGCGAACAGCACATGATGTGGCCATGGCAGCTGCTGCTCTCCATCGTCATGATCATCCCCAAGCCCAAGAAAAGGCGACCGCGCGCTCGCCCTCTTGCCACAGCTATTCCGTTGCTGGGAACTACTGCACCGAGACCGAGTCCGACGATGGGCAGTGGACCAGCAACGAGAATGGGACGCCGCCGTAGCGGGCAACAGTTGCCTACGTGAAGCACTACGCCGCCTCATCACCGACGAATGCGCCGACACCTTCAACATGACCGAGACCATCCTGTTGGCGGACATCGAGAAGTTCTACGACAGCCTTCGTATCGACAAAACTGTACCAGCTGCGCTACGTCTACAATTCCCTGCCCGACTGCTCTACCTTTTGATGCTCCAGCACTCAGCCGCTCGAGTACTACGACGCCAAGGATCTTAGTCTAGGACGATCTACGCGGACCGCTCCATCCTCGCAGGCTCCAGGCACGTCAACAACATCGCTCGCACAGTCGTGTGCGCCGCCATGGCCTCCCTCACCGACACCAGCACCCTACCACGACCACTACCTCGAGCATGGTTCGACGACATCAGCATCCGCATAGTAGGCAGCAGAACGCACACGACAACCGTCACCGTCGCATTAACGCATCGACTATTCCTAGCACTGCAAGAGCAGGGACTACGATTGGCCGACAAAACTACCCTCATGACCACGCACTACAAAGACACCATGAAGATCCAACAGCAGCTCCGCGACCTCCACATCGACGTCCAAGCGGCCACAGAAGGGCGAGACCTGGGCGCAGATCGTGCAGCACGCGGTACCACCAGACGCTCCACGCACGCGACAAGATGGGCAGCAGCACGCCGACGCCTACGCGAAGTCCGTGGCTAACTACGACGACTCCACACCCCCGCCAAGGCCAGCCTGGTGAACCAGGGCGCGATGGCCTCTGCGAAGTACGGCGCAGCCTTCCACGGCCTAGCCCCCACTGCGCTACGTGCAGTACGACGCCAATGCGCCCAAGCCCTTTGTCGCCCTTGGCCTGGGCGCTGCCTCGCCGCATTCCTGGACCTGGAAGGAACCGACCCCGCCTGCACCTTCGCGAACACGCAGTTCTCTAACTGGTTTGGATGCTGGACGCACAGCCCAGACCTGCGTGCGCAAATCAGACGCGCCTGGCCCAGCATCTACTTCCGACTGCTCAAGGTACCTACTCGCCGACGCTGGAACCAGAGACGCGGCCCCATCGCAGCCATCATTTTGGCCCTGTGGGAGCTCGGCTGGGACTCCCGCGGACCAGGCCACTGGATCGACAGCGCGGGCAACGACTGGAAGTTCCCCCACGAGGACGCCCAAGACACCAAAGACATCCTAGACGCCATCAAGCACGACGTAAGGCAGCAGCTCTGGAGGGCCGCAGCGACCCACTACCACGGCGGAGGCCTCGAGCACAACGGCGCTGACACCACAGAGCTCAAGCGACACCTGCAATGGCTCCGGACACGCGACAAGCACCGCGAATACGGCGCCCTCCTCACTGCTGCATGCGCGGGAAGGTGGACTCGCACTAGGCAGCATATGACATTCGGCCACGGCAACCACCTATGCGAACGCGGGCCGCCAGACACCGACTACCACCGCATCTGGGAACGATGCAGCTGCCGAGGAGACGACGACATCTACGACAAAACCGACAGGCTGCAAGCCCGCGATGCCGCGGGACACCAAACCACCCCAGCCTTCTGGCTCAGAGGCATCACCCCGCGAGACTGGTCAGTGCCACCAGACCGCGAAACAGCCGAGTCAGCATCCAACATGGGCGAGATGACCCAAGCCGACAAGATCTGCACCACCGACGGGACGCCCTTGGTAATCTACGGCGACGGCTCAGGCTGGGAGCGCTCCTCCGACTGGCGTTACCGAAGATGTGGATGGGCGTGGCTAAGACTTGGCAGCACGCGCGACGGCGGCTTCAACGTTGCTGCAGCACGATGCGGTCCACTACCCTCCCGACGTCAAACGAACAACCGTGCAGAACTCTGGGCACTACTGGATGCGATCAAGCACACCACTGGCGCCATGCACTTCTGGGCGGACAGCGAAATCGCATTCAAGGGCTGGCGAGACCGACGGCGCCAACTACATTCCCACACGGGCAGCAACGACGACCTCTGGGAGACCATCGGCAGAGAGCTTGAGCAACGTGACGGGCAAGGACCAGCTCACATCGAAGTCCACCGCATCAACAGCCACCTGACCCGGGAGGAAGCGCAAAACCGAGGTTCCCCCCTACATGCATAGTTTGGCAACGCACGAGTGGATCGCCTCGCAGAGCAAGCCGCCGCAGAGCACCAACTGGACGCAGGCCAACCCGGTTGCTACCAGTGGGTCAACGCCACCGCCGCCCTCATTACCGCCGCCGCTATTGGCGCCATCGACAGACGCCCATCAGAAGCACGCGATGCACGAGCCGCACGACGAGCGCAGCAGCAAGAGCACCGCAAGCAACTCAGACGAAGACGGGATTATTTCGCAGACGGACCACCACCACGCCCAGTTGGCAGGCGCCCACCTACCACCCACAACCTGGCCAGGCCTCGGCGGGGAAAGGGTTGGGTTTGCACCTGCTGCGCTCAGCGCGTCGGGCGAGACACCAGCTTCGCAGCAATGCGAGATTGGTTCCGGCAACAATGCACAGGACCACCACCGCGACAAGGACGAGCTATCACACAGCACGGACGCACAGCTCACGACAGCCACGAGCTGATGTTCATCCGAGCAGATTCCCGCTGGGTATGCCGCCACTGCGGTGCCTCCACCACCGAGCATGTTTCGGAGAAGATGCGCACGGAATGCACACGCCGCGCTGGATACCGCAGCTTACACTACGAGCTCTTGAAATGGACAGAGCTCGCCGACAACGACCAAGACGGACGCGACGACACCAGTGCCGCCGCCAGCCAGGAACGTCGTGACCCAGCACCCGACAGCGACCAAACCAGCACAACGCCCAGCGACGGCGACCACGAACCACCAGTGACGCAGACCAGCGAACCCCCGCAGACTCCACCACCAAGGACACAAGCCGTTTGCTGTGACGGTGTGGAGGGGGAGGACGAGTACTCCCCGCGTCCACCAGCAGGGGCGGTCAGGGGACGTCAGCGAGGAGATGCATTTGAAGGCCCTCGCCCGCGCTCCCCGACCGCCCCACAGCAGTCCGACCGCCGCCAGGACGAGCAGATCGAGCAGCCACCACTCCAATGCGACAAGCAGCAAGCCTGCGTGCAACAACCTCAACGACCCTCGACAGCCGAAGCAACTGCAACGGGCATCGACGAGGAACGCCGCAGGCAATCGGTCCGCAGGCTCCTCTACGCTGCCAGCCGACCGATCGAAGAACAGCACGACGGCGACCAGCAGCAACGCGCCCAGCAGCACCACGCCACCGAGCACCACCGAGACCAGCACGACAAAGAGGACCAGCAGCACCACGCCGCCCAGCACCACCGCGACGACCACGGCCGCGCTGGACTGGAGGGGCCTAGTACTGCCACCTTCCTTGGAAGGCATGCCGCAAGGGGTGCTCGGGGAGGATCTCGGGGGTGGAGCGCGGGCGCCACAGAGGATGCGCTCGGCCGCCTTGCCCCACGCGCCTCCGCAAGACGCGCGTGGAGAAGGGGCGGCCCTCGGGGGCGCGGCCCCCTAGAGCGGTTGGCCCCGCGCGCGGCGCGCGCCGCGCGGCGGGGGGCCGCGTCGGGAAGGAAGAGACCGCCTGCGGCAGAGGGGGAACTCGCGGAAACTCCTCCTCCTCCTCCTCCTCTTCCTCTTCCTCTTCTTCTTCTGCCTCCTCCGTCTTCCTCGTCCTCCTCCTCCTCCTCCTCCTCCTCCTCCTCCTCCTCCTCCTCCTCCTCCTCCTCCTCCTGGTCAGAGCGCACCCCCCGGGAGGGCCGTGGAAGAAGGGCGTCCGCACTCGGTGGCTCCCCCAGTCCGTGCCTCCTGATCTAGAGGGCTCCAGAGAGGGCCGCTTGCCGTCGAGGGGTCGAGAAGTTGGCGCCCCCCCCGCCCCCCTCCGCCCCAGGCGTAAACAAGAGCGTGTTTGTTTATTGCTTGGGGAATCATTGGCATTATAGCCCCCTCCCCCCCCCGAAAAAACGTAACGCCCGTCCTCCTCTAGTGCGCTCTGGGCACTGCCGCCGTGCGCATCGGCCACGCGGCGGGGGGGAGGCGTTACATTCTACCTCCCCTGGCCCCCCCCCCCATAATGCCCATGATCGCCGAAAATAGAGAAACGCGCTCCAAGACGTGCCCCTCCCCAGGGAAATCAGCTCCTCTGGATTCTGGATGTTTGTGGGCCTCGTTGGCCCGTGCGGTGTGCGATCCAATCGTGGCAGCCGCCTCACCACGCTTGTTCATTCGGCGACAGTTCGCCCCTGTCCGAAAACGAGGTTTCCAATCACCAGTCTGGCCCGTATGAAATTAATCTGACCATCATCAGGGGGAGGACAGGGGACCGACCGGGAACAGAGCGGGCCAGGGGGCGAGGAGCCAAGCGCGATCTCCGAGTATGCGTATGAGTGTTTGGGGAGGAGAGAAATCATGGGACGAGGAGGGGAGAAGGTGGGCAACGGACTGGTGATGACGACGACGAGGATGGTGTTGATGATGACGACGACGATGTGGATGAGGATGAGAATGAGGATGATGATGATGATGAGGATGATGATGGTGATGAGGGTGATGAGGACGAGGATGAGGAGGATGAGGATGATGCTGACGATGATGATGATGCTGATGCTAATGATGATGCCGATGATGATGCTGATGATGATGGCGGTGGTGGTGATGGTGATGGTGATGGTTTTTGTGATGGTGATGGTGACGGTGGTGATGATGATACTCATCATTATGGTACTGTTATGATGCTGATAATGACGAATATGGTAATGACGATACGGAAAATGGCAATCCTAGTGATAATGATGATGAAGATGGTGCTGCTGCTGCTGCTGATGCTGATGCTGATGATGATGATGATGATGATGATGATGATGATGATGATGATGATGTCGATGATGAATGTGATGAGGATGATAATGATGATGATGATGATGATGATGATGATGATGATGATGATGATGATGATGATGATGTCGATGATGGTGGTGATTATGATGATTGTCGTGGTGTGATGATGAGGATGATGGGAAAATGACGAGGGGAACTATGTAATGGTGATGATGATGCTGATGCTGATGATGATGATGATGATGATGATGATGATGATGATGATGATGATGATGATGATGATGATGCTGATGCTGATGCTGATGCTGATGCTGATGCTGATGATGATGATGATGATGAGGAGGAGGAGGAGGAGGAGGAGGAGGAGGAGGAGGAGGAGGAGGAGTATTATTATGATGATGAGGTGGTGGCGGTGGAGGAGGAGTGCAGCGCATTCCCCTTCTCTGCTGGCCGCCTCTTGCCCTGCCCGGGTCAGGGGGCTCCTTCAAGAGCCGGTCGCTGTGAAAGGACAGGGTAGCGAGAATGACCAGCGGGGTCGATCGACCATCGAGAGATCGCCGATCGAGGATCAAGGACAGACGATCGACCATCGCGGATCGACGGATTCTCGTGTCTGGAGGATCGAGGATCGGTAATCTGGTTTTTGACCCAGGATCGGTACAGGTTGTCACTCGGCGCCCCCTGAATGTGAGCGCAGCGACGGACCGTGTCGCGAGAGCGCTAGTCCATCGAAACGACATGGTAACAATTGCCGCCGCCCTGATTTGAACCAGGAGGAAACTAATACGATACCAAATGTTTGCCATCATCTTTGTCGCCAAGGCGCTGGTCCACGTAAGCACTGCAGGCCGCCAGTCACGGTTAAGTCCTAAGCTGCGCGGGGAGGATACGGGCGAGGCCGCGAAGCTCTGCAGTGGACATGGTTGTTCTTCGATGGGATCAGCATGGATATTCTGGCGCAGCAGCTCAAGAAGGACGCCACGTGGCCCATGGCGCCGGACAAGGTAGCCGCTCAGAGGGCGATTCAGCTCCTAGTCTGTGAGGCCATCCAATTGGCCGTCGTGGACATGGTCGGGGCCGTGTCTGGCGATCGCCTTATCGAGCAGATCGCCGACTTCTGCCCGTTCGGCTGGGGCGGGGGGGCATCTGCCAGCTGGCGCCCGACAGGAGGGTGCTGAACGTGCTGGCGATGAACGGCGGGTGCCTCTCCCTGGCCCATTCCGTTTGGCACCCGGGGCGCGGCGAGCTCCACGCACAGCGGGAGACGCGACGCGAGGCGCGCAAGGACTACGGCCGCCTACCAGCGTTGTGCTGGACCGACCACGCCGCGGCCGTAAAGGACCCTAGCGGCGAGGCCGAGACCGACTCGACGGTGATCCGCTGGCTCGGCGGGATCGAAAGCGACGGCAGCCGGCTGATGAATCTGTCGGACCGCAGTTGTGCGCTCGGTGACGGGCCCTCGCGCGAAAACGTGGCCCATGGGCGTATCCTGCGCGAGCAGGCCCACTCCCTGGCGTTCATCACGATCAAGGGCACCATCGGGGACGAGTACTACCCGATCGAGTCAGTGCCGTAGAGCCTGGACTCGACGCCAGACAGTTGCGCTGTCCGGGTGGCCGCAGTGGCTGGCTGGGCGCAGGCGGTCAGCAACACGTTTGTGCTTTGCCTGTTAGACTACGGGTCCGAGAGTCGGCGGAGCGCTGAGCAGGCCAGGGCGGCCCGCAAGTTGCAGGGAGCGGAATGTTGTCAAGAACGACGTGCTGACGGCCCAGTGGCGAGTGTGTGGCGGCCGAGGTGGCCCAAGGTGGTAGTCGGCACAGGCCACGGCGGGCTGATTGCTTTCGCCGCGTCTTACCTTCGCCTGGTCGATTCCGCCCTAGCGCTGAGGCGCGCTCGGGAGGCGGAAAGGGGCCTAGATCGCCGAAGCTTGGCTGAACGCGCGTGCGTGCATCGCGCCGGGGCCCCGTGCGAACAACCCCACGAGGACCGAGCTCGCGCGGCAGGCGCCGCCGGAGCTGGCGGGCACCCCGCCCGACATCGAGCGCCCCGCGCCCTGCTACCTCGCGGGCGGAGCAGGGCCGCATCGCGCGTTCGCGCGCGACCTGGGCGAGGCGACTGGCGCGCCGATGTCGGCGGCGCTGGGCGACGTGTTCTACCAGGACGTGATCGTTGGCCCTCCCCACGTGCTGGAGTTCAGCAGTGGGAGGTGTGCCTGCGGCCAGAGCTCGCTGGCGCTGGCGCGGCGCTGGCAGTGCATGCGCGCGGACTGGGAGCTGCAGGAGACAGCCAGTCGAGCCGACGAGGAGGCCGACGGCGAGGGCCAGGAACTGGACGTTGCGCCTTCCAGGTTTACCTGTCGCCTCGTGGTCTCGCCGGAGCTGGTGCGGGACATGCTGGGGTTCGGACGGCCTCGCGGCGACCTCGGCATCGGCGACGCGAGGTTTCGCCGTGCCCCAGCGGCTGAAATGGCTTGGAGGTGATGCCCAGGCTGGGCTACTGGCTTACGTGCCTGGTCGCGGGCGACGAGGTCTCGCTGGGCCTTCCGTGCGTCGAAGTCGATTCGGAGCTCGCGAAGGAGGTGGGCTTCGGCAAGCATCTGGAATTCCGCGAAGGCACGGAGCTGGCCCAGCTGTTCACGAGTGTCTAGCTGCTGTGCGACGGCGTAGTCAAGGTCCCAGTCGAGTCCGTGGCCGAGGCGCAGCGGCTGCGCGCAAAGGCGGCCCGCTTGGAGCGCGAGCAGGTACCCGCCCGCGAGCGGCGCGACGCCGAGACGGACGCGCTGAGGCTGCCGCGGGCAAGGCTGTGAGGGTGGAGGGCGAGCTGGAGGTGGCGAGCTCCATGCGCGGCCCGAACATCGGGCGTCTCGCCGCCAGCGAGACAGCGGGTGTCTGGCAGGAAGCGGCAGTGGCGGCGGACAGCTGCACGCACGTGGTGGCGTTCAACTTCGATCATGTCGGGGTGGTCTGGCACCCGGAGAACGCCAGAACGCGCGGGCTGACGTCCGACTGCTGTTCGGAGGGTCGGGAAAAGAGCCTCAGCAATAGCCGGAGCCGTCGCTGCACAGTGCGAGTAACAGTAGCAATCGCAGTGGCAGGTAGTTGTAGTATGCGTAGTAGCAGTGGTCGTAATAGTCGTCTTCGTAGTAGTACTAGTAGTAGCAGTCGTCGCCATCATCGTCGTCGTCGTAGTATTCATAGTAGTAGTCTACTAGTAGTCCTAGTAGTCGTAGGAGCAGGATGATGATGAGAAGAAGGAGGAGGAATAAGATTAGGAGTGGGCGTCTGAGTAGCAGTGGTAGTAGGAGTAGGACACCGAGTACGGGTAGGAGTAGAGGTAGAACGAGTAGTAGTAGGGGTGGTAGTAGTAGTCGTAGTAATAGTAGTAGTAGTAGTAGTAGTAGTAGTAGTAGTAGTAGTAGTAGTAGTAGTAGTAGTAGTAGTCGTAGTCGTAGTCGTAGTCGTAGTAGTCGTAGTAGTAGTAGTAGTAGTAGTAGTAGTAGTAGTAGTAGTAGTAGTAGTAGTAGTAGTAGTAGCCGCCGTAGTAGTAACAGTCGTATTATTATTATTCGTAGTAGTAGTAGTAGTAGTAGTAGTAGTAGTAGTAGTAGTAGTAGTAGTCGTAGTCGTAGTCGTAGTCGTAGTCGTAGTTGTAGTCGTAGTCGTAGTCGTAGTCGTAGTCGTAGTCGTAGTAGTAGTAGTAGTAGTAGTAGTAGTAGTAGTAGTAGTAGTAGTAGTAGTAGTACATCCCCAGGACGAAAGTTTTTTCCTCTTGGGCCCGGAACGACGGTCTGAAGTCTGGAGCAGACCCGTATGAGATAACCGCCGTCGGATCTCATGAGGCTCGCGCGGATCCAAACGTGGTTTTGGTGTTTGTTTCGGTGGATCCGATTTCCGTCCGTACGGATCCGATTTCGGATTCGCTGGATCCGTGTCCGGTCTTTTTTTTACGGCGGATCCGATTTCTACCTTGTTGTAAATTTATATTATTAAATTAAACCAGGGAGCCGGAAGAAATCGGATCCGCGGATCCCGCAAACCGCCCGTGTTAAGATTCTATGGG